CATCAAAGGAGGCAATATGGTTGAAAAACTTCATTGGACACCTTGGAGTTGTGCCGGCCATACAGGAGCCTATGGAAATTTTCTGTGATAATGAAGGATCGGTTTCCTAGACCAAGGAACTGAGAGATCATGGAAGATCTCGACATATCGACATAAAATATCACTTTATTCGACATCTGGTGGAAGAAGGACTCCTCATAGTGAAGAGGGTATCGTCAGAGGATAACCCATCAAATCTGCTTATGAAGGGACTGAGTAAGGTTAAGCACTTACAGCACGCTAGGAGCATCGGGTTGAAGGACGATATTAGTTTAGATTAGATAGTTTAGAAACGTGTAATAGATAAATTGTAATTAACATTCGATGATTAAATAAATAGGTATTATTTATGAGTAAAGCTATTGTCTTATGATAATTGTTTACCTATTGTTTCATTTTGCATGTTTTGACTTCCTAAATAATAAGATTATTCAAACGGTCCATAGTCATTCATATGTTGGAAGTAGGTATGAATGAAGATTGTCTTGAATTGGTGTGTAGATTGTCTAAAGTGTGTTAGACATAGCAAAAGTTTGCTACAACGTTCATGAGTGCTTATGAACTTGATTTGAGCATTAGAATAAACCCACACTTGCTGGAATCACTTTATGTAATTTATCACGAGTGATCGCAAGACGATAATATCATATGATCTTAAAACCTAGATATATGGTTTATTGTTTGCTAATTGGTTATGCATTGATAATGCATAAACACATCAGTAACTTGATGTTATATAACGTATTGTTGTGTATGATTTGATTAGTAAATGGTAAATGCATATAAGTCGAAGTTTATCTGTTCCTTTTATCCTAGGAGGGTAAAAGTGATATCAGGACCCCTCGATGATTTGGTTTGACTTATGTGTCGGGCCCGGTTAGGACTGAATTGATGTGTTCAATTAAGTTCTATGTCAGACGAATTAGATATCGAGAAACAAAATATTGGACAATAAGTATGACTATGTTCCATGTAATTGTCCGCAAGATATCTAGAATGGAGGACTATAAAATCCCTTATCTTAAGGATAGATATTGATAAGATCAAGAATTTTGAGAACTACGATTGCTAATCGGATCCAAAAGTTGCATTTTAATTTATAGTTATTAGACTTATCCAAGTAGGAAACTGTTAGATTAGTGTCTAAGTCCATAACTATATTTGGTATGTACTTGACCCGATTGTGCATGGTTCTTTTGGGTTGCCTTCACCAAAGCAACTTGACTGGAGGAATAATATTGAAATAGGTGATTATGGTTTATTAATATATTATGAGACTAATATATTAAAAAAGAAATTATAGTGGTTTAATTAACATTGGTCAAGAGTTAATTAAGAATTAATTTTGTGATCAAAAGAAGTTAATTGAACTAAGGGGACTGATCTGTAATTATGTGATAGTTGCAAAGTTAGGCAAGGAAACCCTAATAGATAGGGTGGACAAATTCTAGGGATAAATCCTTAAGAATTTGTCCATGATAGGGATTCTAGAATTATCTTATGGGTTGCTTTGTGGCTAAGTAACCAGATAACGATAATGATGGAAACCCTAATTCCTACACCTATATAAAGGACCCTTAGGCATGAGAAATCCGGCCAATTGAACCCTAGAAGTCCTAGAGCCAAATTTCACCTCTCCCCTCTCTCTCTTGATTCCTCCAATTGCTCATGATGTTTGTGATTCATTAGAGGCACAACATTTGAGGTGCTAAAGTTCTCAAGGCTTCAAGATCGTCAATCAACAACAAGGTAATCATCTAGATGTGTTTATTATGTTAATTTCGAATATCATATACTAGATCTAGGGTTTGAAAGTCTTGGAAGAATTGCATGCACAATAGAGAAACCTAGATCCAAGCATTAGGGTTTGCATGAGCACATAAGATGTTCTTTTGCCTCAAACCCATTAGGTATTCCATCCCGAGGATGACTAAACCCATAGTATGTTGGCATTCCAACTCGATGGTTGAATGGGCCTGAGGGTATTCCATTCCGAGGATGATTGGACCCATATTATGTTGGCATTCCAACCCAATGGTTGAGGGTCTGGGGTATTCCAACCCGATAGTTGATTGGACCCATAGTATGTTGTTATTTGCATATGTTATTTGTTAGTGTGTTGGTACTTCGGGGGAACTCACTAAGCTTTGTGCTTATAGTTTTGTTTATGGTTTCAGGATCTTCAAATGATTCGAGGAAAGGTGAAGTCATGACCGTACACATCCTTGGTTTTACAATGTTTAGAGGACAATGTTTTTGTAAACACTTTTGTTAATAAATAGGTTGTTTTGAAAAGTTTTAATTTGCTGAACTTTTTGGGATGTTTCATAATCACCAAAAGTCAATTATATTTACTTTGTTATAGGTTTCAACTAACTATCTAACTACTAAAACTAATATCATCTCTCAGACCAATGCTCATTGCATGCTGAATATGTTTGACCCTACTCATACCCTTTGTAAGGTGATATGCATGATTCTCTTTTGATGATACCCTCTTCATGATGAGGTGACCTTCTTCTACCTTATGTCTGATGAAATGGTATTTTATGTCAGTATGTCTTGATCTGCCATAATCTCTTGGTTCTTTTGTTAGCGCAACCGCTCCTTCATTATCACATAAAATTTCCATTGGCTCCTTGATGGTTATAGCAACTCCAATGTCTCCGATGAAGTTCTTTAACCAAATTGCATCCTTTGATGCTTCGCTCGCTGCTATGTACTCTGATTCACAGGTAGAATCAGCTACTGTCTCTTGCTTGGAACTTTTCCATGTAACCGCTCCACCATTTAAGGTCAACACCCAGCCAGATTGAGAACGAAAGTTGTCTCTGTCTATTTGAAAGTTGGCGTCACTATACCCAGTTACTCCCAACATATCATTGCTACCAGGTACAAAGATCCAGTCCTTAGTTCTTCACACATACTTGAGAATATTCTTAACTGCTATCCAATGAGCTCTACCTCGATTTCCCTGATAACGACTGACCATGGTCAAAGCAAAGGCCACATCAGGGCGAGTACATGTCATAGCATACATGATAGATCCAACGGCGGAAGCATAAGGGGCTCTACTCATTTATGCTATCTCTGCATCGGTACTCGGGTTCTGAGTCTCACTCAGTTTGGTATTACTTTGTATATACAGTTCTCCTTTCTTGGAATTTTCCATACTAAAAAGTTTTAGCACATTTTCTAAGTATCTACTTTGACTAAGCCCAATTAGTATTTTACTCGTGTCTCTCAGAACTCTTATCCCTGGAATATAAGCAGCCTCTCCTAGATCCTTCATAGCGAAACACTTTCCAAGCCAAGACTTAACCTCTTACAAGGTTGGAATGTCATTTCCTATAATAAGTATGTCATCAACATACAATACCATGAGGGTTACTATACTCCCACTAGCTTTGAAATATACACAAGACTCATCTTTACTTCTAGAGAAGCCAAAATCCTTGACCTTCTCATCAAATGGGGCTAGGATTTTGAATTTAGGGTTATAGAGGATGGAGACTGAAGCTAGGAAGGGTTTGGAATGAGTTAAGGCCTTTAAATGGGGTCCAAGACCCTAATATTACGGTTGCATCTGATTGACGTACACCCAACGTACTCCTGGTACACCCAACGTACCAGGAAGAAGCTTTGTGACCAACCTTGCCTAGTACGCCCAACATACTCCCTGTACACCCATCGAACGAAAAGCCCTCAAATCCTATCAACTCTCCTTTCGATTAAAACCTTCCGAACTTAAATCCTTAATTCATGAAAGGTCTGAGCATCACTTTTACCATCATACCCTTAGGCTCAAAAGCACAAACCAAACCCTTGGATCACATAATCTATATTACCCACTTCCAATGGGTCTAGACATTTCTTTCGCCAAAGTCTGAAGCCTTAAGATAATTGATTATCGGGTCACGACTCCAAATTATGAAATGACTCGAAACAGGGTGTGACATCTTTTTTTTTTTTTTTTTTTTTTTTTTTTTTTTTTTTTTTTTTTTTTTTTTTGAAAGAGCCAAATCTCAACAAACAAGGGTGTTACATCTTTGAAGATCAAGCATTGAATCCATGTTCATCATCAACAATAAGTGTTCATCCTTCTCATTTCTCATCCATGAGAAGCTAAACTCATCCCGTGCTCGTAGCCAGGATTAGGTTCGATTTTCCTTTTTTCGTATTGTTTTGGATTATGAACAATGTTAGACTTCTTTCTTTTGCATATTGCTTTAGATTTACAATTGGATGTTACACTAGGTTAATGATGTTAATTATAATGCAATTACTTCATTGAGTTGAGTTTTGAATCCATTCTACATCACAAAAATATATCCCTAACTTGATTTGAGTTAGTGAAGTAGAGAAAATTTTCAAAGCCCACAAATCATGGTTTTAGTTACGTTCAACTACATAAGGCCTTATAGAAGGCTTTGCAAGGCCTTTCAATGAGGTCATAATTGGGTCAAAAAGTGTTTCAACATGTGTAAAGTTACAAGGACTTGGAGATCGGTTGCAAGCCCTTTTATATCAACTACAAGCCCTTATTATTAAGTTTGACATTTCAATTTAGGTCATGTAGTGATGTTTATTGGATTGATTATGCATGTATTGGTGTTATTTAATCCTCCAACACTTACTAGAGCTTGTTAGAAGATTAAGGTGAGTTACTCCCAATAATATGTCCCTAGAATTATTTTGTGTTAAGTGATTCTAACAGTTTTGCTTTGTAGGTGCCATGCATACACCGACTTGGAGCCTAATAGGGTGACAAAACCGGTTGGATGGTTGACAATCAGTCATATTGGTACAATATAAACAAAATCGCCAATGGTTAAGTACCTTAATATGGTATAAAATAATGTTCTTCATAAATTTCACAAGTCTAATAGTTTGTTACTCATCCCTAACATTAACCTGTTTTAGGAGGGCATCATCACACAAAAAGTATAATACTTTGCTACAATTCAACCGTATAAACTACAACACAATTTACAAATTCAATAATAGAATGTCGACAAGAAACAAGCTTTAGTTCATCTTTCTTACCTCTTCAAATCCCACATACTCAAGAATGCACTTTCTATCTAATTTGGAAGTTCAAAGTTCTGAGGAAGGTGGCATACAGGAACGCGAAGAACACACAAAAACCAATCAAAACCGCAGCAACGGGACCCATGAAATCCAATTCAAAACCATAGTAGTCTTTTATATACGATGTGAGGAGTGGGCCCTGTTCCATCCCAGGAACCATGATTGTGTTAGTTGAATCATGATACTGAGAAACAATGCATCCGTACACAGTCCATGCCATGGGGCAAATCCAGTAGTACCACACCCACCATCCAGGAATTTTCTAAAATTTCAAGAATCCAAATAATTAGTCATTGGTCAATTAGCAAACATTAAGTTAAAAAAAAAAAAAAAAAAAGGGATTTGAGTTGAATCATAGGGAAGCGGACTTACAGGTTGTGGGATATAAAACCCTGAGAAGATATTAAAAAGTAGGTAGAAACCAGCTGCGGATATAGCTGCAATCTGCTCATTTGGTGTAATGGAAACAGTCATCATTCCATAGTATGTGAAGTAAAGGAACGAGAAGAAGTTGATGAAAAAGAGCCAAAAGAATTTAGCTGCAGTCCATTCGAATGACACCATGGCATACACTATGAGAGTGTAGTATGTCGTTTGAAGGAATACATATGGTATCTCTACAAACACCTGTTTAAAAAAAATGGATAAGTTTGTAATTAAGCAAATATTTGATTAAAAATTTTCTTACTTGTGCCATGGCATATGGTAATGAAGAGTACATTCCAGCTGCTCTTTCACGATAAAAGACTGTTCTTTCTGTTGCAACAACTGGTTGTACTGTTTGGGAATTGTTTACACCTACAAAAAATACAGCAGCGTACATGGCTCCAATTGTTCTATTTAAATCAGTGCTGGTCGACCTGAAATTTATAAAATCAACGAGTTTAAGAATATTTTATACATCGTTTGACACAATAAAAAAAACCCTTACAATAACGGATGTTCTTATAACACTTTGTATTTATACGATTGATTTAAAAAGAAGAAACGACTCACGTTTTTTTGCCGATTTTCCAGAATACAGTCCCGACCATGAGTGCACAAAGCAAAGTGAAGAAGAATCGGACAAGGTTATAATCGGGATTTCGCCAGTAACTCCACCACATCTTCCATAAACATGAAGTGAATTGTCCCCATATATTTTGAGAATATTGTGTTTCGAAGTGAAGATCTACAGCTCCTTGAGGAGGTACGCTTAACTCCTTCACCAAATCCTTGTTCCTCCTATCATTCATACAAAGTACAAACATTATAATTACAACTCATCGCTGATTTTATATCATTATAATTTGTTCAGATATCACAAAAACCCTTACTGTTGCAAAGACGATGAACTGTAGATGTCAGCAAAGTCAACGCCAAGTCGCATCTCTGCAGCGCCAGAGCTGACTTCCAACATCCATGTTGCTGGATTGTATTTTTCAGGGATCTTTGGAACCCCAGGAACTTCCTAATTATTTTTAAAAAAAAAAATTATGAATCTAGAATGTTTTAAAAGTATGAATGTGAGATAGATACCTGAAAGTAATCAATGATGCTTTGAGAATGTCTGCCTAAAGGTCCCGCATAGATAACTTTTCCACCTCTTTTCAACAACAGCAACTCATCAAACGATTCAAAGATATCAATACTAGGCTGATGAATGGTGCAAACAACTGTTCTTCCTGTGTCCACTGTGTTTCTTACAGCTCTCATAACAATGGCAGCTGCTCTTGCATCAAGTCCAGAAGTTGGTTCATCCATGAAAATAATTGAAGGATTTGCAACAAGTTCTACTGCAATTGTAAGCCTCTTTCTTTGTTCAGTTGATAATCCACTAACTCCTGGAAGTCCCACCATTGCATTCTTGATATTGTCGAGTTCAACCAACTCCATCACTTCACGTACAAAACTCTGAAACATAAAAAATTAAACTTCCCATTAATGTAAGTTAAGGTTTAATTTATATATATGTTGTTAAATGTTAAATTACCATTTTGTCTTCTTTGCTGATTTCTTTTGGGAGACGGAGGAAAGCAGAGTAGATTAAGGATTCATGAACAGTGATTGTGGGAGAATGGATGTCAGTTTGCTCACAATATCCAGAGATTCTTGCAAATGTTTCTTGTACTTTTGGGAATCCTGATATTCTTACATCTCCTTCGATATAACCACCTGTTTTTCTTCCTGCTAAAACATCCATTAATGTAGTTTTTCCAGCTCCACTTACTCCCATCAATGCAGTTAAAACTCCAGGCCTAAATGCACCTGTTACATCACTAAGTAAATGCAACCTGTCTTCTGTTACCCCTTGTTCTCTCATTTCCTGTTTAATCAACAAATAATCATTATAACAACTTTCAAGTCACCAAAATAACAATTATAAACATTTCAAAGAATTGGACTTACAACAGGCATGTCAACAAAGTAGTTGACATTGTCAAATGACATGGCGTATGGAGTAAAATGAAGCACCATGCCTTTCTTAGCAACACCATTAGCATTAGAAGTGACTTGATTTCTGGGAGCATGATGTGGTGTTTGTTCTTGGTTGGTATCTTGACCTGCCATGGCTGCAGCTTCTTCCTTGGAGATAATTGCTTGTGGCTTTCCAGGGGCTAGTTAGTCAATAAGAGAATCATGAGGGTTAGTTAGTGCAAAGTGTAAATATCAGTCGACTTTAGGAGTATTCATGGAAACTTACCTTTTAAATACATGAGAGTGATGGTGAAAAGAATATTGAAGAGAAATGTGAAACCAAGAAGAGCAGCAGCACAAATCCAGTATGTGCTTTCTTTAGTTGGGATGTCAAGGGTCCGTAGTACTGCAAACCCCATGTTGGTTGAACCATCTGAGCTCTGCAAAAAGTGAAGTATATAGAATTATAAGGGAACAATTTTGAATTTTGGAAACCAACTTTCTACATTTTCTCAAAATGATAATAGAAGTTTTTTTTCTTTTGGTACATTTAGGATTCTTGATTTTTTTTTTTTTTTTGCTATTTATACCATTATGACTGGCTATTATAGATTAGTTGTTTTAATGCATATATGGTGTTTGCAGTGGTGACCCATAAATATAAAGAGGTGTTACTATTCATACACCCCTTTATTTATTGTACACCCTTTTCATTTAACCAAAACGGTAAATCAGGGGTACAATGAGTAATTACACCCCTTTAACGTTTTTTGACAAAAACGTTAAAGGGGTGCTAATATTCATTCATACGCTCTTTATTTATTGTACACCCCTTTGATTTAACAAAAACGTTAAATCAGGGTGCGTACAATAAGTAATTAGAAGGTATATGTTTAGTAATAAGGGTGTATGAATAGAATCATACATATAAAGTTACCCTTTTGCAATTCAGGTTTCAAAATGAGTGACTTACCGTTTTGCTTGTCCACCTAGGATCAAGAAACTCATTTATAGCAAATCCTTTGAAGCCATAAGACAAAGGTGAAAGCCAATACGCCCACTCCCACCAGTTTGGAATCTGAGTCTTAGGAAGTATAAAACCACCTAACAGAAATATAAGCAAAAGCACAACAGATCCTCCTGTGTTTGCAATATTCATTGTCTTACAAACCCCAGCAATCAGCCTAAACAACCCTGCTGCCACATTCTGGATCAAAAACACCAACAAAAGATGCTTGAAGAACCTGTAAATTAACCACATTCCATTAGTAAACTCACATATAACAAAGGTTTATCTTCAAATCAATAATTAGTTAACTAATTATCTCACCTGCTAGCATCAGGGGCAAGATCAATACCATAGTAAATAATCCCACACCACATAACACTCTCAAGTATAGAAATAGGAATCCGAAGCAAGAAAGCTGGAAGAGTGAAACACCATGAAGGGTGGAACATGAGGTCCCTTTGCTTGTAAACAACTGGAAGTCTCATGATGATAAGTGACAGATCAGCAAGCCCATTAAACATGTTTATGAGTAAACTACTTAAAAGTGCCCCTATATAGATAACCCCATCTTGTTCATCTCTATGGTTCATTGTGGGCCTAAGATACAAAGTCGTGATGATGAATGCTATAAACACGATTTGTATGGATTTGAAAACAAAAACAAAAGCGTTTCTTTTCATTAGTAGCCACTCTTTATCCCATGAGGCTTTAAGGAGCTCCATTTTCGGGACTAAGTATTTTTGGAAGACTAAAGCAGCTTTATGGCTTTCGTTTTTGTCGTATGGAATTGACAACTCGTTTTTCATCTTCTCTCCCACATGGAAACTTTTGAATCGCTCAACAAATCCATTCACTGATATGTATTTATACGGTATATTTTTGTTCACCCAATATTGCTCTTGATCCTTTTTAGATGTCACCTACCACAAAGATAATAAAAAAAATGTTTACAATATGTAAAATTGTAATCATGTATTGAATTAAAGTTACTTACCTCTTGTAAGAAGTCAGCAGTACCCTTTCTTTCTGGACATACGAACCCACAACTCTCGAAGAATTCTAGAACATTTTCTCGTGGGCCCTGATACACGATCTGACCCTCGGATAGAAGGATGATGTCATCAAATAGATCAAAAGTTTCTGGAGCAGGTTGTAGTAGGGACATTAAGATTGTTGACTCGGTGAGGTGTACAATTTGTTGCAAGCACTTCACTATTTGAAATGTAGTGGAACTGTCTAGACCCGTTGATATCTCGTCCATAAATAAAGTTTTTGCGGGTCCCACAAGCATCTCACCTGAACCCGGTATTTATTTATCCATTCAGCACTTTATCCATACAATACTTAATGTAAAAAAAATAAAAATTTAATTTAATTAACCTGTGGTTACACGCTTCTTTTGTCCTCCAGAGATACCTCGTCTCATTTGATCTCCAACAAACGTGTCACGACATATATCTAGGCCCAATATCTGATTTGGTTTTAGAAACATATAAATATTGTTAGTGTTTGTGTTTCTTCTCAAGAGCTCTATTTGATTGAGGTGTAGAAAGATTTAGATAATAAAGAGTAATAATACTTACTCTTAAAGTGTAATAAGTAATCAAACTGCTCTCATCTCCTTCAATCGCGGTTGCCTTCATGAAAAGGTCGACTTCTGCTTCTGGGATGATACCTGCTTCCTTTTCTCTTCTTGCAAGCTCCGTTAGCATCTCTGTATTTCATTTTTTTTAGTTATTAATCTATCAAATCATATCTTCCTATTTCAAGAATTGAAAATGTGAAACAAGATATGGGAAACAAATCAACAATATATCTAACTAAATGAAAATTAATTAAGTTACCTAAACGAGATCCAACTCCTTGGCATCTTGCTGAGAAATCTAATGTTTCTTTCACAGTCATTTCTCCAGCATGAATATCGTTTTGGCTAATGTAAGCAGCTGTTCTTCGTGGTTCAAATTCATTGAGCTTATGTCCATTGTAAGTTACCTCTCCATCAACTTTTAAGTTTTTATCCAGTCTTCCTGCTAGAGCTAACAAAAGCGTCGTCTTCCCCGATGATGGTGGACCCAACACAAGTGCCATCCTGTAACATTCAAAAACTTGCATAAATTCCCTTCGCGAAGTGTGTTTTATACTTTTATTTCTTGAATTACGTTTTGATACTTGTGAATCATAAGTCGAGATGCTATTTCGATAGAATATATGAGTAATTGAAGCTCGTAGATAGCTGAATTTCCATTATAGCACAAAGTCATAGCAATTCGATAAAATATAAGGATTCTGAGTTTTTCAATCGAACATTCATTCGTTTATAATAGTTGTGTGATGTTATACCTTGATGGTTTGATGATTCCGGAGACATTTTTAAGAATGCGCAGTTTTGCTTTCTCGGAGAAGTTGATCCCGATTGTAGCGAGAAGGGTTTCAACGATATTTCTAGCAGAATTTGTGAGAGTTGGAAGTGCTCTATCTCCGACATGGCAATCAGCTTCTATTGACAAATTTTGAAATCGAACTTCTACTGTTGGAAGCGAGATTCCTACCCTGAGATTAATCAAGACAATGATGTGTTAATTTATTAGGTTAAATATACTTAAGAAATTGACTAATTATATTAATAATTGAGACCTTAAAAGGGTGTCCCTACAATGTGGGCCCCTAGAGAATTAGTAGTTTAAAACGAGGATAATTATGTAAAAATCAACTTAACCACTTAAGAAATTGACTCGCTATATAATATCAATAAATGTGACCTTAAAAGGTGTCCCTACATTGGGGTAATGTGGGCCCCTAAAATATATAGATAGTTGGTAGTTGAAAAAGGTCGAGGTTTTATTTATGTAAAACTAATTAAGAAATTGAAGTAGTTGTAATTTTTTAAATATATAAAATTAGTTAAAATCTAAAAGCTTCCAACAAACTATATAATATACTTTCAAATATGGAGATTTTATTTTAAAGAAAGCTTGTATTATTAAACAAAGTTTTTTTTTTTTTTTTTTTTTCTGGTTTTTATTTCTTAATTAGATTTCACATTTTGGCCATTTGTGGACGAAAACCCAAACTCGCTTTTCTTAATTAGATTTCACATTCTTTTATAATTTTTAGACAAAAAGCCAAACTTGCATTTTTTTTAATTAGATTCCACATCTGGACAACTTTAGATGCGAAGCCAAACTTACATTTCTTAATTAGATTTAACATTTTGGCCATTTGTAGACGAAAACCCAAACTCACTTTCCTTAATTAGATTTCACATTCTTATATAATTTTTAGACAAAAAGTCAAACTTGCAATTTTTTAATAAGATTTCATATCTGGACTACTTTAGATGCGAAGCGAATTGTGTGGGTGAAAGAGAGATGATGTGTTGGTCATGGTTTCTTTGAAAAAAAATATCTTTTTTCTCTCATTACATTTTGTCGATGTCAAATTTTCTTTGTTTCAAAAAAAAAAAAAAAAAAACTTTTCTTTCCCTCTTCAAGAACAATTTTGGAGGTTGTGATATTTTCAAAATTATTGATAATTTCAAAAATCAATTTCTTTTTAGTTTTTAAGGGGCTTTTTCATAAGAATGAATTTCGATCTTTTTAAAAAAATTTGTAAGTTTGGCGTTTTATCTAAAAGGAAGTCAAAATCTTAAACGTGGATTATCGTAAACGTACCTAAAATAAAACAATTTGTATTAGTTTTTTCCTTTTTTTGTCCTTATATAGTAAGAAAAAAAAATACTAAAAGTTTTCATCTAGGACAAAAACATAGATGGTCGAGTCTGGAGTACATTCAATATATCTATGAATAGCATAGGCATATATGAATATTCAAGTATCTTTTATATATTAAAAAATAAATTAACTGATGAACAGCTGTAATTTTAATTTAGAAAAATTATAGATTACACAACAGCCTAAGTAGAAGATTTTGAATATCTTTTTTCATGGACAAAAAAAAAGCTTGAAGTATCGAATCTTAAAATTTGAGTCAATAACTGAGATTATGCATTAATTAATGCTCGAAGATATTAATTTGAATACTAGATCTAATATAAAACTAAAAAAGGAAACAGAAAATTAGGGGAGTTGACTTTTCATGAAAGAGAAGAAGACTTACTTGTGAACTCGATCCCTGAACTTCCTCAAGAACCTTTCGTTATCTTCTTCAGGGAGCATAAAAATCTTGTTGATGAAATTCTGTCGAGCAACTGGATCGAGCTCTCGTACATCCATCAACATCTGATCAGATTTCAGTTCCTGTTGATCCTCCGGAATATATGACTTGAAGATGGTGGTTCGTAGTCGACTGTAAGTTGGGAGTTTCTCTAAAGCAGCCCATCGCAAGGCCTCTTCGTCTTCCATGGAGTGACGACTGCTCCTTCCGTCGTGACTACCACCTCCAACGCCGGAAAACGCATCTTCCATCCGCAAACTCCCGGCAGCGCTGCTAAAACTTCTGCCTATGCTTCTCGCCACACTCCGGCGAAAACTCGAGTTCCACTCTTCCGCCATTTTTGACTGGAGTTTGCGAAACCCCTTGCGTTCCTCTTGTTTATATAAGGTCCCAGGTCCACGGAGTAAACGTTTATAAGATATCGAGTCAATTATAGTTTTGGTGCCTGGGGTTTTGCCTTATTGCGATTTTAGTCCATGTTTTGACTGTTATGAGACGACTAATCCCTGTGGTTTTAAAAAGATGCACCGGTGGTCCCTAGGCTATTAAAACTAACACCTTGACTTAGAAATGTAAACGGGTTTCGAAGCGTCCTGAATGAAACCTAAACCGAAAGACGTGGAAGCCGAAATCAGCATGTTAGTGGAACCGGGAACCAAACCAATATAAGAAAACCGGACAAGGTATACCGACATAAAACCACTTTGGACCGTTTGGAACCAGAATTGGCTTTGGGACTTGAATTGGAGCATACCACGTCTCTTGCAAAGGAAGGGTCTATCAAATAAGAAAAGTTAGTTTCTATATAAACAAAAATCAATTTCGATACCTTTTATTTATAGGTCTATAATTCAGTTAATAGATGTCCAAATAACATGTTTATGGAGTTTAAATTTAAGATAAAACATTGAACTAAATATGTGTAATGCTTGGATCTTGAGGTAGATTATTCATAATTAAAATTTCATTTTAAGGATTGCTACGGTGTGTGGAGGCACCACCATGACGTGACGAGGCAAGACGGGTTCTTGTGTTTCATTTATGTCACCTCGGTGTGGCAGTATTGGTCATTGCATGGTGGATGACTGACGTGAAAATCCTATTTTTCCGAGTTTGCTCTCTATTTAAAATAGTGGGGAGGCTAGGGTTTGCTCATCCTCAACCTCCATCATCCCCCTCAAGCCCTAAAGAAAACCTTAATCACTTTCTTTCATTATTGAGCTAGTTTTGGTGTTCCTTAAAGCTAAAGAAGGAAGAAGGAAGCAAATATCAAGCAAGAAAGTCTCCACCCTTCACCTTAGCACTCTTTTGGACCTTTGTAAGTGTCCAAGACTCGATTTTTATCATACTAAGTTGTTAGATCTTGAGTTTTATCCCACTAACTTCTTGTTTTTGTTTGTTGGGATGGTGAGATTTCTTAAAGTTTGCAATTTTATGAATCTCTGGGGAACTTGGTATAATTTGTGCCTTAGATCTGGAGTTTGGTTGGGTTTTCAATCCATGCATGAGATTTAGGTCATAAACCCTCAATTTGACCTAATACGAGTTCAAGACATGCATTGGACATGCATGTCTATAAAGCACCAACTTTTAGGTTAGTTTTGGTGCTAGAATCACTTCTAGAAAGGATAGATTTCAGACTTTATGGAATAAGTTCTTATTGGTTAAGATCTTGCATTGTTAAGCCTTTTGGGACTTAGAGATTTGGGTTTTGGACCTTTTGGGTGGTCCTAATAGATAAAGTTAGAAACTTTATCCTTCTAGATCACATTTTAGACCACATCTAAGCTTTGGAGTTCTTGGAATCGAAGAAAAAAGCTTAATGCATTAAGTTCCCCCCAACTACCACGACATGGTCCTAGGTCACCACGGCGTGTGGCTGAGATTTTCCCGACTGTTTGGTCATATATGGGCCACGACGTGGTCAAGGAAGACCATGTCGTGACCTTGAGGGTTGACTTTTGACTTGTGGATTTTGTTAAGCTATTAATGTCCTAATAGGTAGATTAAGGTTTTGCCTTGTGTGATTATCTAGGTAGCAGTTAGCACCTGTTGTGGGATTTGAGATATGCATATATGCCTGTTTGCTATATATATATATATATATGTGGGGTGAAATAGATCCGGTATAGCCTATTGCTGACATATGAATTGAAATAGACTCGATAGTTAAATAGACTCGAGGGTGAAATAGACCTATTACAACATTGTGCTGACATATGAGTTGAAATATATTCAGGGTGAAATAGACCCGGTACATACTTGAGCTGACATATATGTATGGTATGCGGTATTTAGTTTATGTTTCAGGTATTTTTGGTTCGAAAGGGAAGGCCCCGAGATGATCGCATTGCACACACCATGATTTTCCGCTTTATTGACTCTGGTGTACTTTTCAGATGTTTATTATATTCTCTAAATACTTTATGGTTTTCTCAAACATGTTTGGTTGATGGATTATTTAATATAAAAACAAAAAAAATGGTTTTGAATTTTAGGACGCTACAAGTTTGTATCAGAGCCTTAGTTTGAGGGATTCAAGTATACTCTCCGGTGTACCTGAACTCAAACTGAGGACTTGATAGGTTTTTCATAAGAAGAAATATTTTATAAAAGAATTTTATAATAAAAGAAAGGTGTGTGGTGTACGCAATCGGTCAAGCTAAAGTAAGTTTTTCCAATATACTCATACATGTTCTTGTGATATACTTTTGAATTGTTAATCTATGAATTGCATGTTAGACTAGGGCTAGGATCTGCTCAGGATTTGCATGATAGAATGCTAGGCTAGATGCTTTTATATGCCTATTGTATGAGCTTGTAGACTTGCATGCTAGTATTGGATCAGTCAGTGGTATGATGGATTGGTTAGGTTATGATTTGATTCAGATTACTCAATGCTCGAATGTTGCTTGCTTTATGCTTTTAGGAGTTCTATTCTCCACCCACCACTAATCCATGTGGTTTGCATCTAGGATGTCTCTTACATAAAACTTACTCATAAAATTTTAAGAATGAACCAACTTATTTTGTGCAATTAAGACAACCTTTATGAGGGCTTCAAACAATTATCATCGAGAATGGTTAAATACATAACGATAAACTTTCCATCCTATAAACCAGAGAGGATATTGCCCAAGCACTAATATTCTTCGAAACGTTACTTTGATGATGCATACTTTAGCTTTACCACTTTTCTCAAACAACTTGCTTTGATTTTTTTTTTCTAGTGAAAAGAGAGTCAAGTTTTAACGTTGATAGAAGAGGTAGATGAAAGACTTATGATGTTAACAAACTGCCGAGTAAGAGCTACGACGTTAGTAGATGGGACAGAAGATAACGTTATGACTCCAACAAATAGGTTTGAGGAGGGAATGGTCGACAGGATGAGAAAGATGATTATGGGATGGAGATGCTAGAAAGGGAGAGTATAAAAGGATGGAGAGGTGGGTTGTTGGCTACTAGAAAGGCGGTAATCGATGGTTGTTGTAGGTGATTGAGATGCAAGAGGGGAGAACAGAGAAGTCGACAATGGTTGCTAAAATACGAGTATAAAAATGGATTCTACATGTCATTAGTTTATACGAAGAATTAATGTAGGGTTTTGATAGTTTTCAAAAAAATAATAATATGAAGAATTAATGGATTCTACATGTCATTAGTTTATACGAATATAAAAATGGGTAGTGAAAAATAAAAAGATATTTATTTTTCTAAAATATATTATCTGATAAAATATAAGCTTTTTGGATCTATTTTTCTCATAGGTTCGTCTTGTTTGAATATGATTAATTTTATTCATGTTTCGTTTAAATCATATGGGCAGTGGTAGGCGAAGAAAAAAAGTATGAGGGATTACATAATTTTTGAAGGGTTGCACTACTAAAAAAAACTCATTTTCGACGATAATTTTCGTCACAAAATACGTAACTAAAAGGGTTGCATCGATATATTTACATTAAATTTACTTTTATGAGGACTTAGTTTGAAAATTTTTCAACGGATTCGGGTGGTTTTTGATGGATTTATGATAGAATTGTGATAGATTTTGACGAATTTATATTAAATTTTGAAATTTGAGGAATTGTCTGCATGACCCTGAGATACCATGTAGCTCCGCCCTTGAATATGGGCTATTACTAAGGTAATAAATTATATAAGCATTTATGAAAAAAGTGTATGAGTGTATGTACAAATCAGTAGCTAACTATTAATTTCGATAGTAATAGTTAACGCTTAATATTATATGTTTCTACTTGCTAATTTGATTACCTAAAACTAAAATAGTGTATTTTTTATAATATTCTAAAAAGCTCGGTAAGACTTCCAGAAGCATCATGATTCTAAAGATCGAATCCTGACGTCATTCCTTAAGAAACGTAAATATGTTAAAAGAATAGATGTATTATTTAAAATCGAAAAATAAGTAAAAGGTACATCAAAACTCATGGTGATATATCCGTTGTCTAGACTTTTGAACAAGACTTTTTAGCGAAGACTTTTCAACCAAAAATTTAAAGGAGCATGTACGGCGACATTTCTTAGCTATATCCAATAGTATGTTGTTTGAGAGGATATTAATGAGTGATATTAATAATCAACCTAGCAATTTGTTGAGTATTAATGAAAGTTTTTTTTTTTGAACGGCAAGGTAAATATATAAATAGAAAAACTAGCCCCATAATGTTTTAGAGCTAAAAAGAAGCAAGAACACAAAAACAACACATACAAAAAATGATAATACTAATGAGTATTAATGAAAGTTACTTGCTTTTTAGTTCATTAATATATAAAATATTTCAATTTCTTAAAAGTTTACTTTTGTATAATTACGTTTTATACAATATTTAAACTTTTAATTTTTTACTTAAACTTTAAATGATCGAGTAAATTACACTTTTGGTTCCTATGGTTTGTTCAAATTTGTAGTTTTGATCCTTAAATGAATTTTTTTATAAGTTGTATCCCTACATTTTTGATAAATAATTGTCTTCGTCCATATAAAAGACTATTTGATCCTTAATATCATCTTAATCATTTTTTTATCATTAAGTTAAATAAAAAATGATAATAAAATGTTTTAATAGAATACCTAGACCATTCCCAAGGTATGTTTGTAACACCCGATCATTTCCGGTATATTTCCATTATGTGTTCTTTCAAGTTTTGATATTGATGGTGTGACCATGTAGGTGGTAGATAGCCATTTACGTGTTGCGTAGAAGGAAGCTTGGAGATGGGGTTTTAATGATCTATGCAGGGCATAGATCATGGTACGCAACGCGTACTCGCCAATAGCACAAACCCTAATTTTAGAGTTTTGAGACCTATTTAAGGTCTCTAACCCCTTAAGGATCTTCTTACCATCAACCTCCATCCCTTTATACCCACCTCTCAAAACCCTAATCTCCATTTA